AATGTAGCGAGGCTGCGTGTTATAACGAATACTGTAATATAATCCGCATAACATAGCAAAAGCCGACGCTGTAGTATTTATTCTCGCAGCTTTAAAATGGAATTGTTCAAATATGCAATACATTTGACAATTGGGTCAGGGAACTGCGATTATGTATTTGCAATTCTCTTCTATTACAGAACTTATATGTTTATTTACAGAAGGAAACTTACCCATATTGCTTCCGAAATTATTTTTGCCGCCGTAAGGCTGCATACGATTGTTTCCAAAGTTTCCACCACGTTGTGGGCCACCACCATAACTTTGTTGATAGCCGCCCCCAAAATCATCGTTACCCCAGTTACCACTATTGCCACCATTGTTTGGACCGCCAAAGTTGCCACCGTTGTTCCAACCACCGCCGCCGTTATTATCCCAAGGACCCATATTATTTCCACCCCAACCACCACCGTTACCGCCGGGGCCGTTATTGAAACCACCACCATTATTAAAGTTTCCACCCCAGTTTCCATTACCACCCCAACCGCCGCTGCCGCCGCCACCCATTCCATTTTGATTTCCCATATTACCACCACGTCCCATGTTACCGCCACGGCCCATATTACCGCCACGACCCATATTACCACCACGGCCCATGTTACCGCCGCGTCCCATATTACCGCCTTGTGGACCTGACATATCATTCTTTGGCAATGCTTTTTTCACATCCAGAGTTTTGTTTTTAATAGTGTGAGCTTTTTGTACTGCAATAAATAGAAATATACAAAAAAATTAACATAAAACCTCAGATATTTTAAAAAGATTATAAGAAATTTTGTGTAAGAGTGTAACGCAGACTTTTTCATCAGATAATTATTTTTGGAATGACCTAACAAAGATATAATCTACGTTAATTTGGTCTAACAGCCAATGAAACGCCGCACAATGTCATCAAATAAACATATGCGGAGCTGGGACTGTACATAAATGTCACTAGAATACTAGAAAAGAAAGCAAGTATCTACTTACATACAATCTTGTCAACGGGATCGTAGTCGTCATATTCAACAAAGGCAAACCCACGCTTCTTGCCGGTTTCCTTGTCCATAACTACATTGACTTCGACAATGTTTCCATATTTGTTGAAATAGTCACGTAAACATTGTTCATCGTGCTCATCTTTAAGACCACCAACGAAAACTTTCTTTACCGTGGCTCCAGCATTAGGATTATCAATATCTTGACGTGGCACAGCACGCTTTGGTTCAACAACGCGTCCATCAATTTTGTGTGGACGTGCATTTTGGGCATCATCGACCATTGATGACTTTGAGTAAGTAATAAAGCCAAAGCCACGTGATTTCTTGGTGCGGGGATCCTTCATAACAACAACATCGACCACACGTCCCCATTTCTCAAAATGAGATTTTAGACCGTCGTCGGTTGTACGGTAATCCAAACCGCCAATGAACAACTTGCGGAATTGCTCGGGCTCGGTGATTTGGTCCTAATAAAATGGAAACAAATTTCGTTATCGCATCAATAATCACGAAAAAAAAAACAAAATGGCGGATAATCGTCTTCTTCGAATGTTCTAGACATTACAAATGAGAAAAATAAAAATACGCATACTTACATCGTTGTTGTCGCCATTTTGCTGATTTCCGTTTTGGTTAGTCATTTTTATTTTCCGGCTTTATAAATTAAAACACACTTGATAAATACAAAAATACCACGAAAGAGGACGCGCAACCAGAAGTTTCCCGTTCAACTTTTTAACTTGAAATGATTCAGAAGAAAAATGTCTACACCTACATGCCGATGACAGAAGCGGAAATGAGAGTAAAATGCTGCCAAGTTTTACATTGGTATTCGAGTACACGAGATAGTTCACTAAAATCACGCATAACGTATAAGAGGGACGCAAGCCATTTACTGCTATACGCTATTTATACGTCAGAACCGCTTCTTAAGATAAGCTTAATATAATTAAGTTTTAATACTTTAGCGTAGGATTTTTTTAAATAAATTAACCGCTTCTTAAGGTATGCTTAATTTAGGTAAGTTTTAATAAATCAGCGTAGGATTTTTATTTTACTCGTTTTTTTTATGTTTTTTTTCGGTAAGAATGAGCAGTTAATTCTAGCCACGATGTATTCCAGGGGTGGATACAGTGTAAAATTGAGGCATCGTTCTTTCCGGTGCAATATTGGATTTTTCGTTGAGATTACCAACAAGCGACAGGTAAGGTACCATGGTAGAAGAATATAGGTAGACGCGTCAACACAGCTGCTGGGACAATGAACTGTCAAACCAATTTTGAAATTGAAAATGTTGAATGAAAAATTATTTAAATTTGTAAAAATTGTTAAAAAAAACGCGTATTATAATAACCTCCGAATGACGTCGTATGAGAAAACATATAAAAATCTACTTATATTTGAAAAGACATTTAAAATATTTTGACATATCAATGTTCCCAAGCGTTTATGCATCTACCTGTATTTTTCTACCATGTAAGGTACATTGGATCAAATGCTTTTCACACTCATATATGTCTCTTATTATGGAATTTTCATGGCTGCCAAGTTTATCGACGAAGAGTCTTTGAAGTTTAAAGCTGGAAATACATAAAAAGCATATTTGGCTGGCTTAAGTCATCGGATGGCTTCTTCGGAAATGAACAAAGGAGCCTAGGGCCAAAATCGAACTAGATCAACCTAAAACTCCTTTGTTCATTTACGAAGAAGCCAGGCGATGACTTAAGCCAGCCAGATAAGCGCTTTATGTATTTCCAGCTTATATATATGAAACTGTTGGAGTGCATTTTTGTGGGATTATCGTGTTTTTTCCAAACACCTTCTCAATATCTTTCTCTCGAAAACTTATATTTCCATTGCCTTTGTTTGGTTGTCAAAATGTATGTTTTTAAATCAATGTATGTTTGGTAATCAAGTAGCTTAAGGAAGCTATACATTATGTAATGTAAAATTTCCAATATCTAGGAGTTAAAACATGGTAAAATGAAGAAGATGAGGTGATGGACACTTTGGTTTTTTTCAGTGCCAACCATGGTAGAAGAATACAGGTGGTCGCATCGACACAGCTGCTGGGACAATGAACAGTCAAAACAATTTTGGAATTGAAAATAATGAATGACAAATTATTGAAATTTGTACAATTTTTTGAGAAATAAATATCATTACAACAACGACTTGCGCATTTTAAGAAAACATAGAAAAAGCCACTTATCTTTTAAAAACATTTCAAAAATTTTGACATATCAATGTTCCTAAGCGTTTAAAGGGCTGCAAATGTGATAATTTTCTTTATTTATGCCATGGAGAGAAAACGCTCGTCATGTTATGCCCTGTTGGATCAAACGCATAACAGTACGTGACATCCAATCAAATACTCTATGTCGGTCATGTCGGTCAGACCAATAAAAGGGGATGTTGAATAGTGTGTCATACAAAAATGTTCTACCAAAAAAATAACAACAAAAAAGAAACAATTGGCAACGGTAATGGTAATGGTTCACCCAAAATGTTCATACATCGCGGTTAATGACGGTTTTTAACGGTTAAAAACACGGTTTTTGCCTCCAGTACTGAGGTGTAATTGAAAATGAGTGTTACTTTAATTTATATATACACTATATACTTCCACTGTTCTATTCCGTAAAAATTCTGTTATTGAATGAAAGTCATATCTCTGCCCACATACTGCAATTTTAAGAGAACACTATATGTAGGTAAAAAATAGGCAAACAATACTTTCTTATTATTTTATGACCAAACATTTATGATAGACACCAATAAACTGGGATTGTCCAGTATATTTTCCATTTTTTATTCATTTTTTTGTTGATGTCCATGCATATTTTGATATTGAATGAGAGTCATATCTGCCCTCATCTAATAATAATAATAATAAGAATATTTTTTAATCATTGGTTTGGTATTCCATTTTATATTTACGCTGTGTTTGTTACACACATCCTCACCGTCGAAAGTAACACACACACACACACTATCTCAATTTAACCACACGTACACAAATGACACATAATTTGACTATGACATGATTCGATGTCATCGCCGACACCCTGCATTTACGGAGAACACCATGCAAATATTCGAGTCAGCCATGCCACGATCGAACCTTAAACCATGGCAGAAGAATACAGGTAGATGCATCAACGCTTGGGAGCATTGATATGCCAAAAAGATTTAAATGTTTTTTCAAATATAAGTAGATTTTTATATGTTTTCTTATGCTACGTCAGTCAGGCTACTATAATTCACGTTTTTCAACAATTTTTACAAATTTAAATAATTTTTCATTCAACATTTTCAATTCCAAAATTGGTTTGACAGTTCATTGTCCCAGCAGCTGTGTCGACGCGTCTACCTATATTCTTCTACCATGCCTTAGACAATGGCACACATGAATCAAAATGGGGGATGTTGTTGGTTGTCATTGCCTATCAAATACATAGTGCATGATTGAATCGACAAAGTCAGTGTGTCGAAAAGAGCATAATTCATACAATTCGTCTTATGCTGGCCTTTATTATGTAATTCTTCTACCATGGTGCCAACCTTTCTTTCCAAAATACTCCAGACACAATAGTCAAACGGATTAGTATCCGGAGATTTTGGTGGCCATTGTGCGCTGGAAATGAAGAGAAGGATCTCATTTTGTAACCATTCTTGGGTGGCGCGTGCTGAGTGCGATGGTCCTTCTTGAACTTCTTGAAGTTTGAAAATTAATCGGAAGTTGACCTACATATCCCTACTAGAAGTCGATTATTCGATTAATTGGAAGTCGACCCACCTGTCTCTAATTTAAGTTGGTGTATCTTACAAAGTTATTTGACCATTTTCTACTGGTTTTATTATCTCGGACATAATTAAGTTTAATTTTTCTATTATAAAAAGTTAAAAAAATCAACTATAAATATGTCTTATGAAAGTCAGGAAAAAAATGAGGTATTTCATGTAAACAACTGTTTAAAAAAATAAGAAACTTGATGACGAAAGCATGTTAGAAAGAAATTGGTTGTTGTTTAGAAAGAAACTGGCTGTAAAATAGTCAAACTGCATACATACGTACCTTGTGTGTACACGTCTAGTCTATACAAAGATACAACTTTTACATCGGTACACACAAAGGTGAACGCGGTTTGGATTTCCAATAAGAAAGGTGTCATACGTTCGTGAAAATGTAGAATAGAATTGGAGAAAACTGTGTCCACATGGTTTGGCCCATTTCTCCATTAAATCTTTCAAAGAGAGCAAGAATTAGAGTTCCTTACTTTACGCCCACAATTCGTCGAACTGTTAAACGGTACCATAATATGGGAGTCCCTTTGAGTTGAGTAATTCAATGGTCTTTGTTCCCTGATTCCGAGAAAGTATTTTTTCTTGGGGAACGGGCCCGGATATCTGACCCAAAAGTCCGGGTCCAAGCCCTTGGTTAAATCCGGACATACTAAAGCGATAATAGACAATATAGGAAAATAAGTATTTTCATTAGCTTTCAAATGATGATGATACCTGTATTGTCCATATTTGTTCAGTAGTTCCGGGTCAAAGACCGCTTGGATCACACATATTCGGGTCCGGCCCCCAAGAAAAAAATGCTTTCCCGGTGCAAATACCTACCACTCGAAAAATTAAAAAAAAAATCCGAGAGTTTAATAGAGTGGTTCCCAATGTTGCAAATAATTTTTTTTTTTTTTTTGCCTTTTTTCAGACTAATTCTTCTGCTGTCCAAACGGATGATCACCTACGTAAAATGTTCCTAGGTGGCTTAACGCCAAATACAAATGAAGATATGATTCGAAACTTTTTCTATCAGTTTGGTGAAATAGAAGATATAATTATTATGCGGGATACAGCAACAAAGCGCTCAAGAGGTTTTGGATTTATAACGTTCAAATCTTCTGAAAGTGTTGATAAGGCCCAAGCAGCTAGGCCACATGTTGTTGATGGAAGGTGAGTGCAAAAGAACTAATTTTGTAACATCCTCTAAAGTGGAAAATTGTATATTTAGGATATAATTTATTGTTTTGTTTTATTGTTCCCCATTTACATATTCTAGAACGATTGATACAAAACGGGCACTACCACGTTCCGCAGAAGCTGCAAAAAATGAGGCTAATGGTTCTGTAAGAAAAGTCTTTGTTGGAGGTCTAAAAGATTACCATGACGAAGAAGCTCTTCGAGAGTATTTCCAACAATTTGGTAAAGTTGTATCAATAAACATTCTTGTCGACAAAAACACCGGGCGTAAGAGGGGGTTCGCTTTCGTAGAATTTGATGATTATGATGCTGTGGATAAGGTTGTGCGTAAGTACTATAACTATTGTCAAAAGCCCATAGTCGGTAACCAATTTTTATTATGTTAGTAAGGAAAACCCATACTATTAAGTACATGTTGGTAGATGTGAAGAAATCAAACTATAAACAGGTACAGGCAAGAAGATTGGCACTTCAACAGCAACAACAAAACGGCAATGGAACAGTTCCAGCTCCAGTTGGAGATCCTGCAGCTGTCGGAACATATCCCCCCTCAACCTATCCTCAAACAGCTTATAGTTATCCGCCTCCACCACAAACGTATGCAAATTGGGGCTATCCTCCTGCACCAACGGCAAACAGTTCATATACTCAACCACCTGCAGGATATGGTGCCTATGCGCCTCCTCCAGTACAAGCAGCTGCCCCACAACAGTCATGGAACGGATATGCTACTGCTCCTACTTCGTGGAGTCAAGGAAACTACAGTGCTCCAACTACTAATACGTGGAATGGTACTCCAGCACCACCCGCCCCAATAAACTATAATACACCGCCCGCCACAAATGGCTGGAATTCAGCAACACCGGCAGCAATACCTCCTACTACACAACAATTTGGCAATTATCAGCAATCCTATAATGGCGGCCCCCAAAAAAACAATAGTTTGCAAGGGAATCGTATGAATCCGTATACTGTTTAAATCATGGTAAGTGTTGAATATTTTTTATTTTTTAAATGTGGTTCGTTCGTTTGCTGTGTTTACCATTTTAGATAATTTTTTTAAACTAAACTGCTGGCTTCATTTTTGTGTCTATCCCATTAATTTATGTTTTTCCTTGTTTAAAATCTGCTTTAAGCTAGTATTAAAGATTAATATTTAATTCCTATGATTCATGTTGCTATTTGTATTTTGGGTTTCAGTTCAATCAGAAAGAATTTGGGCCAATATTTATTATTTAAAAATTTCTATCAAGAAAAAAAAAAAATATTTTTTTTTTAATTTTTTTTAAAGCTTCACCCGAAATATAAATAACAACCCTTCTATAATACACATCTTTTCCTCACAATAAGTAGTGTTTAGGCATTTCAAAGTGTTTAATTATATTCTTTTCCGCAATTTTACCGACATTTATTTAAAAAAATGTTTTGTACTTCATTTCTTACTGCTCCAAATAGTCAATTAAGTTTTCTTCACAAGAAACACTATGTAGTCTTACTTTATGCCTATAATATGCGTTTTTAAATACAAGTACCAAAAACAGCAGAAGTGGGGTCTAGACTAATTTCCCCCAGTGTTTAGTTCATTACATTGTTAACAGAAAATGTATGATATTATATATTTTGGTATCAACACATAACTCTACGAACTATAAAGAAGGATTATATACAATAAGTATTTACTATTTACACTTCTCTTTATTTCGTATAGGAAGTCCTTTCTCAGATATCTTTAATATGTATTTTCCTTATGTACAACCTAATTAAGATTATGTAATGAAGTTCTAATGAAAACATGTGATGTTAACCCTAACAACAAGCAGCAGCCACCCTTGATGACAACAGTTGGCGTTAAAATTAATGAATATTATTACCTCGAGAGATCGTTCTACGCGCCAAGACGTGTTTATCAAAATTCTTGAGCAATTGGATGCCAACATTAACTATCTTTAAGAGAAAAAAAAATCATTTTTGAACAGTTTCTTGTATCTAAATAAGATTATTAAATATATAAATTTATATTATATTAAAACAAAAAATAATATATGACACTTTTATTTTAATGTTATGCTTGATTGTATTTAAATTAATAGGTATACCTTCATTGTTCTTCATGTTTATGTCACTGGTATACGAATATATTCGTATTAACATGAAGAACATTTAGAATATTACATAATTGTCTTTCAACATTAAATTTTGTATAGTATACCATTACTTATCTTAACGTTCTATGTACTATGAAAAAACTTTAATGTTTTTGCAACACAATCAAAAAATTTGCATTTTTAAACTAATTATTTCAGCTTTTTACTAATTTCGTAGTGAATAGCTTGTGCATAGCACAGCACGCGTTCTTTAATTGATAATTAAGAGGGCACCTTTCAATACTTTGCAAAAAAGTACTGTGTTTGTTTTTTACAGAGCTGATTGAACGCAAAATATTTTTTTAAAATATTAACCCACCAACAATTTCCTCTTTTAATAAACATCGGCTTTTATACCGACACATTTATAATAAATGCATGATAGTTTAGCAATAGTATGGTAAAGTTTTGTAAACTGTTGTTTTATGATACCTTTTTTAAAAGGTATTAATTTTGTTTTTCCATATCTATGTAGTTAAGACCTCATTAAATATATTTTGAAGATTTATTTTTTCAATATTCTTTTTAAGCTCAAACATATGATTGATTGTGAAGATGCTTTCATGTATTCTAAATACATGTGAAGGCTAAATATATATGTGATATAAATATCTGTGATAATGGAGTACTGTATCGATGTAAGTAACGTTACATTATTTGTTTTTTATCTTTTACAGCAACATTTCTAATAAAAATACTCCATAATTATAAAAAGAAAATTATGAGTTGTTTTCATTGCGAAAAGGGTGACATAATTGAGCAATATGAGGTCCTGTTTCGACTCCAGAGGTTAGAGGTTCTGTAAAAAATGATTATCACGAGATCTGAAAACATAATTTACAAAGAAGAGGGAGACTGAAATAAAAATCAGCAAAAAATGAAAATGAAACCCCCTCACTTATAACGTTGTAAGGCACTGTAAATTTGATAGAGATATTGTATTGTATATTTGGAGAGGAAAAGAAAATGTTTGGTTATGTGGGAGAAATCTACATTTTGTCAAGCCCTACGCGTGTTGTATATAAATCTGCAAAGAACGTTTTTTATGGATTTCGAAATCAGAAGTGATTTATAAACTAGAAATTATCGAAAGGAAGAGACTTTTTTACCTCTCTATTAAGGGAACATTCTAAAAACCTAACAAGAATCCAAGAACTGAGTCACGTAATCCCTGAACATAGAAGACAACATTGATAAGGGTGTTAGAGACTTTGTCAACACCCTTTGCAGTCGCTTCATATGTCCTTTTACTAGTAGTTACAAGTGGTGTGATGGACCACTAAACAAAGCGATGAAAAAACCACTAAATCATCTTATAACAAAGAGAGTAGGACAGAGCAAAACTTCAACATGTATGATTTTCTAAAATACGTTAAGGGAATTCTTTAGCGGATTTCGGTGGTGCAATGGGAAACAGCCTAACATAAAAAGAGAAGTTAAGTCAATTGATTTCATTTTTTTTTGATTGACACTTATTAATGCTAAGAATTCCTGAAGAAAAAAACATATAAAAACGGGCTTAATGTACTCATTATCTGCAAAAACTACACAGGTAAGAACTATGTTTTCGATGGAGGCATGCCTAAAAACCGGAAGTGAAAACCTACGAATGTGACAACTTAGTTATCATAATAAGGGTTAAGAAAACACTTCTCCAGCAGTTTTGAACGTGACGCCGGCGGAACTCGCCATCGCATGTCAGACCATGCGAAGCTACGTACAGTGGAAAACTCGCTGGTCTCAACCCAATGCTTTTGCAACACGAAAATTCGATAACACGAGGATCGTTATTTCTAACAGAGTAATTTCGCCTCTGGCTGATCTGCACATATATGCATTCAAGTTATTTTTACAAGTTGATATATCGTTTTGGCGTCAGGGTTTTTAGCAATCATAAAGACAGGATAACTAGTTTAAGCCTGGGTGCAGAGATCACTTAACCGGAAAGAATATAAAATCAAAACCGACGTCGTTCTAAATTGCAAAAGTCACTAATGTGTCTATGTGGTATAAAATTAATTAGAAAGCCGAAGAACTGACTGGGAAAGGTTTAGTCTCCGGACAAAGCCGTCACCCTTTTGTTGCCCCCGCCTTAACTAGTATTTCATAATCCCCGCTCAAATAAAAGAAAACGCGTTTACAATTTGGCTTATTGTTTTTATTCGTTTCGCTTTTCATGAATTATTTTTTTTTAGAATATTTTAATCTTACTCCATCTGTAATTTTAAAAAATACGAATGCAGATATATTATTTAAAGTAAATTTATTAAAATTATGACAAACTATACAGAAACGAAGTATGGAGTACTTTTTAAAACAGAAGAGTTTTCCAGATAGATTAGCTTTAAAAATTAAATTCTAAGGTAATGTTGTTTTTTTTTATTATTTCAGTTTTGAACTTTAAATTCTTGTGTTTTAGTTTTTATTAAAAATTGTTTTTTCTGTTACCAACCTGCTGTGTTTTTCATTTGTTTTTTTATTATTTAAAGTAAATCTAAGAATTTGTCGTACTCTTATTTTTTTCATTGATTTAAATAAAAAAAATATGTTTGTATTTAGTGAATTGGGATTTTATTTCTTAAATATTTCTTTTATATATAGTAGATTTTCTTAAGCTTACATTAAATATTATTTTTTATCATTGTTGTTTTAAATTTTCATTTTTTTTATTAAATGAACTACATTCTTGAGTGGTGGTAGCTTGAAAAAACAGACTTTAATTAAAATTGAACAAAAAAATATTGAGAAACAATGTCTAAGTTTTATGAACTTGACTGTGTTTTTATAAAATTAATGTTTTGTGTTTTATAATTTCTTGTAACGCATGAGCAGGATTTTTCTGTAAAACAATTTTTTAAAACTTAAGGATGGAAATCGTAATTAAACATTTAAGAAAATTCACCAGTTTCATTAAAAAGTTACACGGGCGAAACAAAATAATTGTTTCAAAATTTAGGGGATAACGAAGTGTGTATTGGAAAAAGAAAATATGAATAAATTTTAAAAAATTGTGAAATGTTGTGATTATACCTTGAGAGAAATAACACTGAATCATACAAATGTTATAACATGCATTTTAACCTTATTTTGGTTATTATATTTTTGTATCGCTGTGATTATGAAATACCAAAAAGGCTGTAATCATGCATTGCCACTGGTAGATATGACTCATAAGACAGAAATAAGTAACTATTATTATTATTGGAGAAAAAAGTTCAAATTGGTTTATTAAACAAACCTTCCGTATTGGGCCACGTATGTAAGTAACTATTAATTCAGAATAAGGTGGACTATAGGTTAGGTTCTTCGTAATCGCTCTACTCGAAGACCTGCATGTCCATTGTGTTCACCCTGACAGGAAATTTGACTAGGTGGACTATAAGTATTTGGCGAACTAATTAAAACTGCAATTGTTTTATGGTACCCATGCCTCATTTCTTAATAGCATATAACTAATAGAATATATGACAACAGTTTTGGTTTACATCTACCTGACATTAATTTGCTTTAAGCGGCATATAGTGCATTAAGAGTTGTACATTTTCTTGCTCCAGCTGAGTAAAAAACCGCATCGCCTTCGTAAGTTTAGAATTTTTTGTTTAGAAAGTTTAGAATTTTTTGTACTCAATGTATGAATCTTTTCTTTCTTATGAATCTTTTTCTTGGTAGTAAATATTTAAAAGCATACCCCTTCCCGTGTATTCAATTTATTTGCGTTCGGTAGATTTGTAACTCACAAATCTAGTTCCTCGCTTCACCCCATTATTGGCGGATTCCTTCCCTTTTAGTGTGATTCAGTAAGAAGTTACAAAAAAAGAAAGATTTGTTTCTATTATGTTCATGTTTTTTATGATTGTACTGAATTAACAGAATTTAACATTACAAAGCTGGTTCATAAAATAGTCACTATCGTGTATTACATGAGATAATACATTGTGGAGTAGTACAGTCCTGTTGTCATTTCTTGAAGCAGTCTTGTGCGCATGGGCGAGGTTCCATTAAAAAAGAATAAATTATGAAAAAACAAATGCTACACCAAAATGTTGAGTCAAGTCGATTTTTCATTTAGCTTAGACTTAAAAGAAAATCGAAAAAGCGGTAGATAGGCGAAGTTCTGAGAAAATATTCATTATCATTATCCTATTTAGACAAGTCTACATGCATTTTTCATGTCCGTATATTGAAAAAGAATCTGACTGGTGTTATGACAACTTCCTTTGTTTTTCTCGACTATCATCCTTACTTCTGCCACTTGTATTCATTGTTTCCCATGTGTCCATGTTTGTATATACATTCATAAATCATTTATATATTTTTGTATTTACTAAGTATATGTGGATTTTTAATATTTTTTCCATTGAAACAATATTTTCGGAAAATGTTCGAAATTAACACAAAGTAAGAACACCTGTATAGCATTAGTTATTTATTGATTTGCAACCTGGAAACCAATTCACAAGCAACATGAGCGGAATGACTGCGAATAATGTTAACAAACTACCTTTTGCATTATCAACATATTGGAAATAATTAGTCATTACGTAGAATCTTGAAAGCGAGTAAAATTACTTTCCTCGATAACAAATATTGAGTATATTCGCCATTTTTTTTATTGATTTGCAACGTTTAAAAACGTGTACGTGTCCGACTACAAATCTGAAGGTTGCAAGTTGATTGCCGATAGCGGACAAAATATAAAAATGGAATGTTTGATGTTACGCAGCAAAGTACCTATCAATAGTTTCACCAAATATGCCTAATGAGCCGCTTAGCCAACGGCGAAACGCGTCGCATAGTGGTGAGTGTGTGATAGCATCTATCTGACTTTCCTTTTCACTGGAAATTTCAGATCATGAGCTCGTCTCGAAAGAAGAATAAACAAAAAAAAAAAAAAA